TGTTCATGGATACATGGAAGTGATAACATCCCCTGCCACATAAAGCAAAATACCTAATAGGACAGCAAATGAAAACAGACTTGAAATAAGCCCTCTTTTGGGAACAATTACAGAAATGAATATACTAATTCTTGCCTTCAACAAGTATACAGCCCACAGTGGAGAAAACAGAAAAGCAGACAATTACAATGAAGAGTGATAGTACCTATAAGAGAGATCAGTACCAGGGGAGAAGGCTGAACTTAACCCAGCTGAGGACTGGAATGAGCTGAGTCAAAAGATGAGAAGGAATTAGCCTGACAAAGGACAAGGGCATTTCAGGCAAAGGGAACCCAGTGTGTATAGGCACAGAGATTCAAGTTAAAGATAACCTGGCAGTGGAAGATAAAGTAGAGAGATAAATAAAGACCCAGTCACAAAGAACCTCACATGCCACACTAAAGAATTATGACTCTGTCCTGAAAGCCAATGAAGAATTTAAGTCTTATTAACAGACATCAAATACTGTTTGGCAAAATCACATTTAAAAATACATATTAAGTTCCTCCTATATGCTAGATGCTGGGAACACAATGATGAAGAAGATAGGCATGATTTCTTCAATCAAGATTTCGAATATTAAATAATTTCATAATAAACAATAATTGCAAATTATAAGATTTGCTATGAAAAAAAGTATGGTGCTTCTTGAGACCCAAATGAGATGAAGGCAGTAGGGACAAGAAGGATGTATAGCTGACTTAGGTAGGGTCAGATGAGGCCCCTCAGACCAAGCGGGGGAAATAGACTAGGACTGGAAGAAAGAGAGCACTCCAGGCAAAGGAACTAATATGTGCCAAGGCCATGGAAAGGATCGATTGTTTGAAATATTCAAAAAAGATGCAAGAAGCCATTGTGTTTAGGATATAGAGAAACAAGGCAAGAGATGAAACTGGAGAGGAACTACAATGTACAGAACCTTACAGGCCACAAGAAAGAATTCAGATTTTATTCCAAATGCAGGAAACCAATGAGGAGTTTTAAAACAAAGAAAGGCACATCCTGAAAAGAAAATTAAAGATTATTCTAGATACCTGATAAAAAAAAAAATGGATTGATTAGAGAAAAATGGGAGTAGAAAGACCATTTAGAAAGCTACTAAAAAGCTGGGTGTGGTGCCACATGCCTATAATCCCAGCTACTCAGGAGGCTAAGGCAGGAGGATTGCAAGTTTGAGGACAGTCAGAGCAACTTAGTGAGACTGTCTCAAAATAAACTAAAAAGGATTGGGAATGCAGCTCAGTGGTAGAGAGGTTGCCCAGCATGCACAAGACCCTAGGCTCAATCCCCAGTCCTGAAGAAAAAGAAAAATAAAGCTAGCTATCTTCTAAAATTGTACAGGGAGAGATGGTTATTGGGTTGTAACTGCAGAGATGAAAAGGTAGATTTTAGATGTCTAGAATCAAACAATTTACAGACAGATTGGATTTAAAGAATGAGGAAGGGCTGGGGTTGTGGCTCAGTGGTAGAGCGCTCACCTAGCACGTGTGAGGCCCTGGGTTTGATCTCAGCACCACGTAAAAATAAATAAATAAAATAAAGGTATTGTGTCCAACTACAACTTAAAAAAAAAAAAAGAATGAGGGAAAAGAAGGACTCAAAAATGAGCACTCAGTTTCTGGCCTGAGCAACTGGACAGACACGCAATGGGATGACTGGTTTGATAGAGAAATCGAGTTTTGTCTTTTTTTTTCTTTTTAACATGTTAAGGCTGAATGAATAATGACCTCCAAGGCTATATCAGTCCCTGATTCCTAGAACCTACAAATTTTATCTTATCTGAAAATAAATAAATAAATCTCTGCAGATATGATTAAATTTAGGAACTTGAGATGGAGTATCCAAGTGAACCCTAAAAGTAATTACAAATATGCTTATTAAGGGAGGCAGAGGGAGACTTCACTAACAGAAAAGAAGTGGGAAATGTGCCAGGGAGGCAAGAATGGAGTGAGGTGGCCACAATCGAGGCCACCAGCAGCCTCCAGAAAACAGAAGAGCCAAGACAGTGATTCTCCCTACAGCCTCTGGAGGGAGCATGGTCCTGCAGACACCTTCCTTGATTTCAGCCCAATGATACTGACTTCAGATCTGTGGCCAATAGAACTGCAAAGAACAAATTTCTAATTTCAGGCCACCCAGTTTGTAGTACTTTGTTACAGCAGTCACATTAAATTTAAGATGTCCACAAATCATTCAAATAGACTTCAAATAAGCAAAAGTATAAGAATCTGAGGTTCAGAAGTTAGTTACTGTTTTAAGTATTTCCTAAAGGTTTGAAAGTTGTATTCTTACCTCCAAGTCCTTCCGAATGCTCTCAAACTCTTCAATGTCATCAAGCTTCAGTTCCAGGCGTGTTGGTTTCCTTCGCAGCATACTGAGATCAACACTAACACAGACCTATGAACTACTGAACTATCTTCAACTCTGTTCAAAATGGCAGAGAGGAAGGAAAACTGCAGGTGATAAGTCTCAGCTACAAGTATAAAATCAATTTGTAAGCATGCACACTAAGGTGAACGGAGGTATTTTAAAAACTCATTTCGATCTACACATAGACTTGTAAAATCTTCAGGTATCTAATTATACCATTTTTATTACATGAGAAGATCCACAACCCTATAATTCCAAAACACTCTTTCTGAAAGAACTTACAACAGCAAACAAGCTGCCTATGATAGAGAATTCTTGGTAACAATCACTTGAATCTAGTGCTCCAGTCACATTTAGGAGCAGTATGGTGGCATACACCTGTTGCTCCGGTTACTTAGAACTACTTGAGCCCAGGAGTTCAAAGCCAGCCTGAGGAAGATAGCAAGACCCTATCTCAAATAAATAAATAGACAAAGGTAACTAGGACATCCTAATTGGGTATCCTTAGGGGCAGAGTGAATAAACCATTAAATTTAATCTCCTCTACATGAGAATCATCAGAGATTGTGATGCAAAAGTCAGTTTGCCAAATCTCACAGAAACTGTAAACTCACCAATTCACAAGATTATCTTCACAGTCTAAGGAAATCTTAAATGGATAAGTCATTCATTAAACAAACTCTTCCTGTGCTCCAGCTACAGACTTGAAAGGCACAGTCGCAATCTGTGGGGAAAACAGATAAGAAAACAGGAAATTGCAACAGGGTATAATGACAAATCTGATGACAGTAATTCAACAGCATCACACCAGCACACATGGCAGGCCAGGGTACATGTGGTGCACAGGGACATTAGGTGAGGTGTCTTGTGGGAAATGATGTCCTGGCTGATTTCTGAAGGGCACATAGAGAGAAAGTGCACATAGAGGCTCGAGAGGGCAATTCATGAGGCAATACCTGTGTTAACAAACACCATTTTTTGAAAAAAACAAAATACTCCCCTAGTTGAGATTAATATCTACTGAAGCTATGGATAAATGTTTGAATAGAATGAAGGATACAAATAGATGAAGGGAAATGAATTTTTCTTGAGCTCTGTGCTAGGCTTTTGCTTTCCCATTCTTTAAGTTCCTACTTAACACAAAAACTCTGTGAAGCTGGCAAAATCATCCCAATTTTAGAGACACAGAAGTGGAAGCAAGCTGTTCATTATATACATAGGTCAATATAGTGATCATTAAATGACAATGATGTAAATGGCAGTTTTATTAAAGTTTGTACAGATATAAATTACTATTACAGGTATCTAGGATGAAACAAGGGACTGTGAAGTATACAAAAGAAGAAACATTTCCTTCTCCCATGAGGCTCTGGACAGTTACAGGTGATATCATCAACACAAAACACTGACACGAGTTTTCAAATTGTTCTGTACTAAATCAGATACTGTCTTCTACCATATTTCAAAATAAAGAAAAGGCAGGGGAAGCCAAAGCCCAAAGGAGATGGGGAAGGGATGCTTAGAGAAAAATTAAAAAAAAAAAAAAAAACTGGGGTTTGGGGAGGGGGAGTGAAACCTTGCCACGAGGCGGCAGTATAGAGTAATAGTTAAAGTGCAGGCCGTCCTCGCGAAGGCCGAGGTTCCCATCCCACTACGTTACCTACCCTGAACGATTAGCGCCATTTCTCACTGGATCTTAGTTTCTGTCTATACTCCGTCGTATAAATTAATTGACGTAATGCACAATAAGCTTCTGGAACATAACTTGGCACTTAGCAAAGCGCTCAAAAAATAAAAAGCTATTATTTTTATAACTATTCCTGGGAGTAGGGTTGGGGAGGGAGTTTGTCCAGTTCCTGGAACACGAGCATTTTGAGACTGCCCCCCCCACGCCCCACACAGGGATTAAAAACCTTGTGTCGTTCATCCCTGGCGCCCCAGCAGCAGCGGGGCACTGGGCCGTACAGAGAGCTGCACGCAGTTTACCTGAAGCCTTCTTACCCATCTTCTCATTCTCTATCCGACACAAAGAACAGGCTGAACACAACAAAACAAAACCAACAACAAAATCAGGCCGAAGCTCCTCCGCCTCGTCTTTATTTTATTCCAGCGCTAGAGGGCTCTTCCAGCTTCATCTCGCTGCGGCCCAAATCCACCGCGAATTCGCCCAGCTCCGTCCGAGGAGCCCCGGGGAGGACTTCCCGACATCCCTCCTCCCGCCGCTGCAAAGTTGCACTCAAGCACTCAAGAGCGGGTTTCCATGGCAACATGCTCCTGAGCTCAGAGACCACCGAAAGCCTCAGATAAGCCCGGGCACCTAGATTCGCCCCAGAGTTCAGCCCGGAACCGCGCGACTCCGCGCACTTACCTCTTTTCAAGCTTCGGCCCCTTCCCGGAACCTCGGCTCCCACCACGAATCTGGTGCGGAGTCCGCAGAACTACACTTCCCAGCCTGCTCTGCACCTCTCTTCACGCAGAACCTCGTCTTCCGCAAGCTTTCCTCGGAGGCTCTACGGTCACGCCCCCTCGCCATTCGGCCAGAATCTTTGCTACTACGACTCCCGTCATGCCCCGCGCGCTTAGGTCGCTGCGTCCGCTCTTGACCCACTTCCGGCAGGTGACGCAATTCCGCTTTGCTGGGCGCGCGGTGGACGGTCTGAAACCTAGAGCGCGGCTTTCGCTGGGGCTTGGCGGCTCCTGGGCCCGGCATGGCTTCTTCACGAGCCTCCTCCACGGTACAGAGTTCGGGATCTCAGTTCACTGTGGCAAGGAGCCGAAGAGGGTGGGGTCCTTGTGGGAAGGGGCCGTTAGGGAGCGGGCTGAGGCCGTGGAGGGCCGAGGAGGAAGGCTGCTGGACTCTGGTATCCTGGAGAGCCCAGCAGCGTTTTCCTGGTCCCCAAGAGCTTTCATGTACTATGTGCCTCTTGCATCTCTCCCATTACGCCCCGAACGGTAAACATTTCCTCCGACTGGTCTAAAAATGGTGCCCTGGAGCGAGGAATGCTCTGACCAAGAGTTACGTCCTTGGAATTGTAATGAGGCCTCCTAACTCACATTCAATCTGAAAACGTTTGAAATGTGAAAATCAGTAACGTTGTAACTTGTTTCCCCTTAGCACCGCATTGGTTTTATCTGTTACCCTTGGTATTTCCCAAATGATGATCAGTAAGCCTTGGAAGAATCATAAACCTATTGCATTTCAAACAGAATGAAGTACGCATGTTCCAAAGCAGATCTTTGATTAAAAAAAACAAAAGTCACCAAAAGAACTTAACTAGTTTTTTTGTTTGTTTGTTTTGTTTTTTTTTAATCCACCTCTTATTTCCTATGGGGCAGATTTGAGTGAGAGAATAAAACACCCTCTCCCACCCTCGCAAATCAGTGAAGAACATCTTAACTAGTGCTGAAGCTGCCCTTTGGTTTTTAGAGGAAACAGTATTAATTGACTGTTGAGCATCATCCTTTGGGAAAGCCTGGTAAATTTCTAAGATTGTTTTAGGTTAACCCAACCTTTTGATTTAACAGGCACCCAAAACTAAGGCACCCGATGACTTAGTGGCTCCTGTTGTGAAGAAACCACACATCTATTATGGAAGTTTGGAAGAGAAGGAGAGAGAACGTCTGGCCAAAGGAGAGTCTGGCATTTTGGGTAAAGAAGGACTGAAAGCAGGAATTGAAGCAGGAAATATTAATATAACCTCTGGTAAGTTGCAAATTCCAAGTCCATCTTTACCTTCTTGGCTGCAGTTTTCTTAATGAATGTAATGAATTAGCACTCATTTTATAATGTCAAAAGTTCAGTCTTTATACTTGCATTTATATATTTGTGCTTTGCCTGTCCTTCGCAGCATCCAGAGATTTTCTTTAAAAACAGTTTTTCTTCCACCAATTATTATTAGTTATTTTATAAGTTTATTACCCCAACTGAAATAACTTTTTTAAATTAAAAAGATAATAGTTACTTTTATTTTTAAAGATCAAACTATGAAGTAGAAAATCCTGTATTTCTTTTTAATTGAATGTATTTCTTTCTGAGAATTTTAATGTAACTATAAAAATACATAATTTTTTTCTGTAAATGAAACCGCAATATATAAATTGTTTTGTAATCAGCACTTTTCACTCTATTATTTATGATATCTTTCCATGACAGTAACAAGAATTCTACTGTATTTTTAAAATAAAATTATATCTATTTATCATAAAGTCAGACAGTACAGAAGGGTATAAGAAGAAAAGAATCCTCTGCAGGAAGGACTTTTGTCAGGTTTCTCATCCTCCCACACTTTTTCTACATCGTATACATTAGTAACATTTTTTTTTTTTAACTTTTCTGCTGTTTTTAAGACTAACTGGGTCATTATTGCACCTCACATTTTTCACTTAGATGTACATATTTGGTGCAAGTTTAAAAAAATAGTTTCTAGATTATCCAAAAAAGCCTTATAGTAAGGGAATTTTATTTTCCTGGAAATTATTTCCGGTTTACTAATTAATGTTTGTAAGTGTTCCTGTACTGAGACTGTTCTTAGCAAATAGTCTTAGCAAGTGTTAAAATAATATTTCTAGTTCACCTTCTGATTAGAAGGCTAGTAAACTCATTTGCTAAAGATGTTCTGTACTCTTTGTGATCTCATCTAAACTATGTTTATAAACTGAAAATGGTAAATTATAAAGTGTAATAGGCATTTACCTCTCTTTAGGGTCATATACATACTTTGTTAAAAATTATTTCTTTCTCCCTATTTAAAGAAGATCTGGTGAGTGTGCTAATATTGCATATTCCTTTTGTAGGAGAAGTATTTGAAATTGAAGAGCATATCAGTGAACGGCAGGCAGAAGTATTGGCTGAGTTTGAAAGAAGGAAGAGAGCCCGGCAAATCAATGTTTCCACAGATGACTCAGAGGTCAAGGCTTGCCTTAGAGCCTTAGGGGAACCCATTACACTTTTTGGAGAGGGCCCTGCTGAAAGAAGAGAAAGGTGACTTTTCTAAATATGTACTTTTTTTTTTTTAATTACGGGGTTCTAGTTGCAAATCCAGTTGATCCTCTAGCTGAAACTTTAATAGAATTCTCAGGGTTATCAATATCTTAAGTTTTTTTAATATAGTTTTAACCCATAATCTGATTTTAGGCCAATTTTTACTCCAATACCAGCTTTCCTTTGTAGTGTGAAGAAGGTGCTAAGACACTCCCTTCCCACCCCAGTATGAAGTTGTGAGTTGGATAAACAGTTGTTGAGCTTTGAAAATTTTACACATCAAATATACTCTATGTCAGTGACACAAAATATAATGATATATATTTTTGGATATAATTACAGAAGCACTATCCTTGAATAATGCTCCTCTTGTGATATTAAGGTTGCGCAGTGTCATAGTGATATGCACTTTTGAGGATTTTTCTCTTGTCTCTGTATCCATAAGGGACCATCTCTCCCCTCCATCATCAGGCTTCTTAGAGAGATGGTTTGTATTTACTGTTTATTTAAGGCCCTTACTCCTTACTTTCCAGCCCATTGCAAAATGATTGACCCCTAACACCTTGAAATTGCTCTTTATTAAGATCCCTAACCTATCTTTACTAAGACTAGCCCTAGTACACTGCCTGTCACTCTGCCTGAAACTCTCCCTCTCCTTTATTTCCATACATCCAGATCCTTCTGATTTTCCTCCTGTCTCTCTACCTCATTCTTGCTTTTTCAGCCTCTTTTCCCTACCTAACCTTTATAGGCTGCAGTTCTTTGTCCTTATCCTATGCTCACCCTTGGAGATCAGTTCCACTCCATGGCATCATATACTATGTATGTTCTGCTGACTTCCAAAAATTTCTGTCACCTAGAAGTACTTCCTACAAGTACTTCAAACTTGAGACAGCTTAATTGACATTTGTGGCCCACTCTTCCATTCCCCTTACAAATGGCACTATCATTTCCACAGTTCTCATTTGAAAACCCACCATACCTCCTTTGTTATCAGTCAGCAAAACCTAGTCTTTTCTATTTGGGAATGTACCTCCAGTCTATCTGTGTTCTTTCACATCTAGACAGTTGGTGATAGCTGAAAATGTGTTAATTGTTTGCTTAAAAACCTACAGTTTCTGGGCTGGAGGTGTATAGCTCGGTGGTAGTATACTTGCCTAGCATGCACAAGGCTCTGTTTTAATCCACAGCACGGGAGTGGGTTGGGGGGTCCTCCCATGTTTTCTTCTTATACTTGGAATAAGAAACCTCTAGTCATGACCAAAACTCACTTTGTGCCATTCTTTCCCAATTTGCTAGATAGCCACATTGGCCCTCCTGAGTACTCAAGCTTTTTTCCTGTCTTTCAACTAATCTTTTTTCTTTTTGTTCATCCTTTGCCTTTTAGAGTTCTTTTATTCTTTTGTTTCAGCACAAATGCCACCTGTTCAAAGAAGCTTTTCCTAACACCTGATCCTTGCAAAGTAACCCCACCAATATTTTCTATCAAGTGTGTTATTTTTTTTATTAGCCATTTCAAAGGAGATACTTTTTTATTGTTGTCTGTTGTATGTCTTCTTCACCATCAAAGTCTATCTTGTTTCATTATTCTATTCCTTAGGTGAATGGCTAGAATCTCTACTGCCACTATCTTAATTCAGGGCCATCAATATGACTCAGAGAGTTTCTACAATACACAATGTGATTTTGCAGCCTTTATTCTTCCCTTTTAATCTTCCCTTTAATCTCCATAATTTTCTAGGGATCTTCCTCAAATGTAAACTTTTCTTAGGATAACACTAACAGCTCTTTGTGACCTGGCTCCTACTTAAATTTCCAGCTTATCCTTCACCAGTCCTCCTTGTACCCTATGCTTCAGCTCTACTGAACTGTTTGTGATTCCAAGCTTAACATAGTTTTCTTATCTCCAGGCCTTTACATTTGTTTAACTCTCTGCCTCAACTCTCATTTCTCCACGGTTTGGGGGTGTTTTTATTTTTTATTTTGCAGTACTAAGGATTGAACCAGGGATGCTCTACCATTGAGCTACACCAGCCCTTTTTATTTTGAGACAGGGTCTCACTAAGTTGTCTAGGCTAGCCTTGAACTTGCAATTCCCTTGCCTCTGAGTCACTGAGGTTACTGTGCAGCACTGCACCCAGTTCATTTTCCCATTTTTGACCCCTTGGCCTGACTACTTGAAGACTCAGTTTAGATAACATCCTATCTGTGAAGCTTTCCCCGGTCCAAATAGCTGGCTTAGGTGTCCCTTCTGTATTCCAATTTAGCATTCTACACTTACCGCTGTCATGATACTTAAAATAAGAAACTATATCTCCTTGTACTTTCTGTCTCCCCCCCCCCGCAGCTATGCTACTTAGAACCCAGAACTATTTCTTTGAATTATTGTTTACTTAGTACCTCAGTTAGTATCCAGTGCATTGTGGCCTCTAGTGGAATGTGGTTGTCTTCATTATCTAAGTGGTAGCAATGTACAGAGTGGTTAAATCCAAATGGGATAAGAAATTGCTTTTAATTGAGTTTAGGAAATCTTCAAATAAACAAGATTGGGTAAAGGAAATCACATGAAAGTTCAGGCATGCCCATTTAACTCTTATAGAAGGTTGCTAGAGTTGTGAATGAAGTTTGAACAGAAAAAGAAAAAACATAGTATATGTAGGTTTTGGTACTCCCTGCAGTTTTAGGTATTCACTGGGCATCTTTTTCTTTCTCCTTTTTTTATAATAGGGATTGAACCCAGGGACACTTAACAACTGAGCTATAGCCCCAGTCCTTTTTATTTTTATTTTGAGACAGGATCTTACTTGCTGAGGCTGCCCTCAAACTTGTCCTCCTGCCTCAGCATCCCAAGTCACTGGGATTATAGGCCTACACCACTGTACCTAGCTTCTCTGGGGTTCTTGAAATGTATCCCCCTGTAGATGGGGGCAGGGACATGGACTACTGTACTTTTTGACAGTCTTAGCTCAACTCTGTTTACATATTGAACTTTTGTGTTGCAGATTAAGAAATATCCTCTCAGTGGTTGGTACTGATGCCTTAAAAAAGACAAAAAAAGATGATGAGAAATCTAAGAAGTCCAAAGAAGAGGTAAAATATGTCTTTGGTTTGACAGTATAAACATCAAGAAAATGAAATAGTTGTGTCATTTTCTCTTCTCAGTGGATTGCTTTGTCAGGATAAGGGGAGAAAAGGCTTGGAGGGTTCTTCCATTCAGAAACAGTTTCTGGCAATTGTTTGTGATTCTTATGTGAATATCAAAGGATCTAAGTGAGTTTTCTATTCAGGAAAGAACTAATAGCATTTTTGGTGAACTCACTTAGAAACCAGAGCCATCTAATAAGACATGGAAATACAGTAGAAAGCACATATGCCTGACTTCAGGGCAAGTATGCTTCAGACTTAACATTTCTGCTCTTTATTTGCCTTTCAGTATCAGCAAACCTGGTACCATGAAGGACCAAATAGCCTGAAGGTGGCCAGGCTGTGGATTGCTAATTATTCACTGCCCAGGTAAGCAGAGCCTCTAGAAGAAAGAAGCATACTTTTTCTTGTTTACTCTGAGAGAATGAGGATCGACTCTATGATGATAGTGGTTATTAAATGAAGCTTATGAACCCTTGTTGACAGCCTTTTTGTTCCTGGTAGCAGTGTTGTTTCTGTGTCCCAGGGCAATGAAACGCTTGGAAGAGGCCCGTCTCCATAAAGAGATTCCTGAAACAACTAGGACCTCCCAGATGCAAGAGCTGCACAAATCTCTCCGGGTAAGGTGTTTGCAATGATTGTTCAATATCTTCTATTACTAGATTTTTTTACTTTGAACCATCTCAAGGAAAGTAAAGGCAACTACCATGAATATTCCTTCCTGCTGGATCTGCTATGACATGCAAGGCACTGTTAGTTAAGGTGGCAGGAACCTACGTGTGCTTTGTACACACAGAGGCCACTGGTTCTATTTTTGACTGCTCCATTTTAATTTGTTGCAGCTGTACTTCAGACTGCTATATGGTCTTCTGTTGATATTTGCTGACATAGAAGTTAGTATTACCAAGGCTAGAATATACCTGGAGCTTCAAATAAGCCTGATTCCATTCACCAATACAAGTGTTTTTTAATAATAACAGTGAAAGTATAAAATCTTGGGATGGGTTAAAACTGAAAGATTGCCCTTTTTTTATGGCAGAAAAGCCAAGGAACTCTTGGATTACCCTATTAATGTCATCATTTGTCTTCTTTTTTTAAGTCTCTGAATAACTTCTGCAGTCAGATTGGGGATGATCGGCCTATCTCCTACTGTCACTTTAGTCCTGATTCCAAAATGCTGGCCACAGCTTGTTGGTAAGTTTTATTTTACAGTTGACATTTTCCTAAATGGGGATAGGTCCAGAAAAAAAAAAAAAGCATTTGTCATAGCTGTCTAGTTCTACTTCCTCAGTTTCTCATGATCACACCATACTACAACATAGTCTTTGTTTCACCAGGGCCCCAGAGAACCATAATATGTAGCAGACTCTCATGTTCTTGACACTGGCATTTTTGAGCAGGTCATATGGATTGTAGACCAAGTAGTGTTCACTCCTCAGTTTAGATAGCTATTTTTTGTTATTGTTTTTTGTTTTAATTCTGTTACCTACCTAAGATACATAATACCTGTAAGCTTCAGTGTCCTTATGTATAAAAGTGAAGTGGTAACATTTGTAAATCATTTTGCCTTGATAATGCCTCATATATGGTAAGAACTCAGTAAGTGTTAATTTAACTTTATTTTCTACTTAACACATATGCAAAAACTCTTGGGATGTAATAACTTTGTTTTGTTTTTTGGTTTGTTTGGTTGGTTTTTTTGCAGTGCTGGGAATTGAGCCCAGGGTCTCGTACATACTAGGCAAGTGCCCTACCACTGAGCTATACCCTTAGCCCTGTTTTGCTTTGTTTTTGCTTATTTTGTGGACTATGGTGTCTAGTAGAGAGGAAGCTTATACTGAATGCATAGGAACTATACAACTAGGCAGAAATTGAGACTGTGCTTCAGGAGAAAGCCTAAGAAATATACAGATCACCTCTCCAAGCCTCAGTTACCTTAACTCTACTTTATGGTGATTTAAGAAATTTTTTTTTTTTTTTTTTTTTTTTGAAGTTCTAGAGATCAAACCCAGGACCTCACGTTTGCTAGGCAAATCCTCTACCATTGAGCTACATCCCTAACCCAGTTTCCTTAACCATAAAGCATAAATAGAAATCCTGCTGTATCCTTGGAGATAGTAGATGCGAAAGTAATTTTTAGAAAATTTTCAAAATAAGTTTTGTGTTTTTTTTTAATTTAGATACTTTGTAGATGATGAAATGCTATTCAATTTAAAATAGGACATGATGGTTTCATTTGTTCTGCCTTCCTCATAAATTGATCCAGAAATTAAGGTGAATAGCAGTGATGCTGTTCAGTAGGATAGCAGTAGGGTCCAGTAAAAGCCCCTGGTTGTCTGAGACCTGGTTGTATCTCTTCTCCTATAGCCCTTCAATTTATTAGTCTTTTATTATTTATTTATTTTCTGTCTGCCACTGTAAAGTATATAGGGGGTGAGAAGAGATTGTCCTTTAGTAATGTTACCAAGGTACCTTTTCCTTCCCAGACCAACCCTGGCTGAGATGCTTTCCTTTGTATTTGATAGGAGTGGGCTTTGCAAGCTCTGGTCTGTTCCTGATTGCAACCTCCTTCACACACTTAGAGGTAAGTTAGAGTCTTGTTTAGATCTGTTTTATCCCCACGTGACCTCTTATAAGTAGTAAAACTCTGCCTCACACTCAAACCCAGTACACACAGCATCGATTCCTGATTTCATTTGATGTTGTTTAGTTTCTCGGACTCCAAAGCCAGAATGTAATGACTTCTTACCATACAACCTTTTTCTCATATCCATCCACACTCAGGCATTTTATAATGTCTGAACTAATAAACACAAACCTTTAATGTTTTACTTTTTTCTAATCTAGCTTAAATATTAGCTTAAATCTTTTTTTTTTTTTTTCCTTTTTAAATGTTGAATAGTCACTTTATTTATTTATACTAAGGGGTAGTGTATACTGGAGATTGAACACAGAGCACTTTACCACTGAGCTACATCTCCAACTTTTTATTTTTTTAAGACAGGGTCTTACTGAGTTCCTTGAGGGCCTCACTAAGTTACTGAGCAGGGCCTCAAACTTGCAATCCTCTTGCCTCAGCTTCGGATTATAGGCATGTGCCTGGATAAATAGTCACTTTAATACTTTACATGTTCACACATATTCCCTGATATATTTTTATCTGTATTGTTCATCGCAATATATATTTTGCTGTAGGTTATAAAGAAGTGAGAACCCTTTAACTTTCTTCTCTTTTTTTAGGCCATAACACAAATGTAGGCGCAATTGTATTCCATCCCAAGTCTACAATCTCATTGGACCAAAAAGATGTTAACCTGGCCTCTTGTGCTGCTGATGGTTCTGTGAAACTTTGGAGTCTTGACAGGTGAGTATTACTGTGCCACAATTGCTACCTCCATCCTAAAGTACATAAGTAATTGGTTGGCTCTCAGCAACTCAGGGTTAAAAATCTGATATTTGACCCCAGCAATAAACTAGGAGTTAAGGTAAATTAGTGTGAAAATAGAGTGGGAGATTTCTTTTTTAGACTTCTTTCACCAGAGGAGTTATGTCAAGTTTTTCTGGTTAACTTTGAACCCCAATTTGTGCCTCCAGCATAGTGGCACTGTTTCCAGCTGCAGATATTTTGGAAAGATCCAGCCTACCTCCTACACAGTGGGTTAGCACTGGAGAAATGCGTGGTTTGGTAGATGGACTGAGGATAACAATCTTGGTAGCCTATTCATTGTTAGCTCACAGCCACGGGGGAGAGGAAAGTGAGGTTCTGTCTGGCAGCACTGCCAAGAAGGTGGTGTCATCTCCCACTGGCTCCATCTTTACCTAGGATATATTTATCAACTACAACATGTTTTTGGTTTTTATTTAATTATTTTTGCTATCCCCCAAAAAATTGTGGATGTACCCTGTTGGTTTAAGACATCTGAGTTCAATTACTTAGTTTTCTTTCTTTGGGAAAGCACAGAAAGGTTTTGATTCCAACATTTTTTAAAGAGCTAATTAGTGTCTGTTCTGCCAAATAGGGTCTCATCTACAAGCCAGAAAGTTTTAATTGGCTTTGGTAATACTTAGCAGTGTTTATTCCCCTGGGGCTCTGGTTAGTTCTTTGTATGCACATTGACAAAGTTCCCTTTTTAATTGCCCTCTTTAGAGTTCATGTTTATTTCCTTCCCCTGTGTTTGATCTTTCTGTGGATGCTGGGTAGCAGAATTTCATGACCATCAAAAGGAGGCCAAGCCTCTTTCTACTCAGGATTTCCTTTTTCCATTTGGATTCTTGAATAGACTAAGATTTGAGAAAGATTTATCTGTAGCCCACTTGTACTAAAATAGTTTGATTTCTAAGTATGATTTGAAAGTTTTCTTTCCAAAATCCAAGTACTACTTGGTGCAAAGTGACTATTTTGCTTACTAGGCAGAAGTGTCTCACTTTTCTCTAATACTAAATTATATGGTGTTGAGGGTTTAGTAATAGATAATTAAGGTGGTAGTCAGCTGGCCTTGTGGGCACATGAAATAGTCCCAAATCTTTTAAAACCTTGGGAAGGAGCTTAATTATTGTTAACCCTAATATTTTATCAAATTGTAAGCATAGTTACAACTTAGCCACTTGAAATGTACAGAATGGGTATATCTTCACAACAATAAATAAATGCAATATATACCTGACTATAAAGGGGTTTACTTGTCTATGTTTGGTTCCTTTTCAGTGATGAACCAGTGGCAGATATTGAAGGCCACACAGTACGTGTGGCCCGAGTGATGTGGCATCCATCAGGACGTTTCCTGGGCACTACCTGGTAAGCCATCTCATTATTTTCCCATTCATACACGCTTGTGGCATTTTGTTAATTTTTTTTCATTGTCTGACGAGTAAATTTTTAGAGCAGAGATTTCTAGTAGAATTTTTGTGAACTGTTCAGAATCAGAGAAAAGAATATGATATAGTGAGGATTAAGTGTATTTGCTTTTAAATTGTAATGAATGACTTAAATATGGGTTTTTACTATACATTGTATTAAAATCTCTCTGGCAACTAATCAGTTTCTCTTTCTGGTTCTGTATCAGTGAGGCTAGAATTGGTGGTGAATTTTTTCTTTGAGGTATAAATTAACATCTGGTGAGATGAGTTTAAGTTTACAGTTCAGTCTTGACAATTTCCTACCATCTGTGTGACCCACACCCCTCTCAATATAGAGAAAGTTCTCTCAAGCCCCTTCCTATTCAGTTCCCCTCTCCAAAACAACCATCATCTGATTTCTGTCTTTATAAGTGAATCACCTCTATTCAGACTGTCTGAGCTCATTTGTGTCTGGTTTCTTTTTACCCAGTGAAACATTTTTAAGATTCAATCATATAGCAGGTGTTAGTAGTTCCTTTTTATTGCTGAGCAGTGGTGTATTATGTGCATGCGCCACAGTTGGTCCTGTGTTAGACACTCGGACTTGTTGATCAGTCAGAATAAAGCTGCCCTAAATATTCTTATACCAGGCTTTTTGCAGACATGCTTTTTTTTTTTTTCCTTTCTCTTGAGTAAATTCCTAGAAGTACAATTGATAGTTCAGAGGATAAAACTGTTAAACTTCTAAGCAGTGTTTCAAAGTGGTTATACCATTTTACATTCCAAGAATTCTGGTTGCTTCATATCCTTACCAACATTTGGTGTTGTCAATCTTACCAGTTTGTCTAAGGTAGCCATTGTGTAGTGCTATCTTATATTCTAATTCTTATTACCCTAATGACAGTTGGTATTGAATACTTTGTCATATGTTTACCATTTGTTTGCATATCTTTTGTGCAATGTTTAAAGATTTGTCTTTTTTTTTTTAGTTGTAGATGAACACAATATCTTTATTTTCTTTATTTATTTTTATTTGGTACTAAGGATCGAACCCAGTGCCATGCTCTACCACTGAAACACAACCCCAGCCCCACTTAGTATTTTCTTAAATTGAATTTGTCTTTTTTTTTTTTTTTTTTTTTGGTCTTTTTCCACATGCTTAAGCCAGTTCTACCACAGTTATTGAAGAGACTTTCCTTTCTCTGTTGAAATTGCTTTGGCATCTTTGTTGAAAACATTTGTCCAGATATATGTGGGTGTGTTTTTGTACTATTCCAGTCTTGTTTTTGTATGCCCAGCATCCAATATAGGGCCCTGTATACAAAGTTCAACAAATAAGGAGACATAATAACAAAATGAAAGGAGAATATAGGCAAGAGAATCTTTGCTGAGCCATTCTTAGGGAATTCTGTTCTTAAAATAGTTAACTAGGGTAGATTTACAGCAAGTTCAAGGTTTCCCTGCTAGTGCCTAAGACAGGTGTTCTTAGCTGTTGAAGCATTGTTTGTTCCAGAAAGGAATTTCTTACTCACATGGTTGAAAGAACAGTTTTGGAACCGTTAAGTTAAGCCACAGATACTGATAGTAACTTGCACATTGTGGAAACCAAATCAATCTGCTGGTTGATTGCTAATGTAATTCTTCCTTTTCTTAGCTATGACCGTTCATGGCGCTTATGGGATTTGGAAGCTCAAGAAGAGATCCTGCATCAGGAAGGCCACAGCATGGGTGTGTATGACATTGCCTTCCATCAAGATGGCTCTTTGGCTGGCACTGGGTAAGGCTTCTTCCACAAAGCCGGGGCAGCTCAGTAGTGTCACCTCTTAGATGTGCCTGCTTCCCCAAAGAACTGGATTCAAAGTGTTCATTTATATATTATTTTGTCAGGGGACTGGATGCATTTGGTCGTGTTTGGGACCTACGCACAGGACGTTGTATCATGTTCCTAGAAGGCCACCTGAAGGAAATCTATGGAATAAATTTCTCCCCCAATGGGTAAAATAATCTCATTGAGTGAGGGGTGGAGAGGGTGCTTGGTCAGTCACTACTCTGTTTTCTAACTTTCATACTACATCTGATCCACAGCTACCACATTGCAACTGGCAGTGGTGACAACACTTGCAAAGTGTGGGACCTACGACAACGACGATGCGTGTATACCATCCCTGCCCATCAGAATTTAGTGACTGGAGTCAAATTTGAACGTAAGCCTCCCTCATGTTTTAGGCCTAAACACCACACAGGTTCTGCACATCAGTGGAGTGCAATCCAGGCTGTAGCTTAACTTAGAAGTAGAACAGGGGAAAATTTGACCTCTGTTAAAGGAGCTAGTTACAATTTCCTTCCTCTGCTGTACCCCTGAGCAGAGCTATGGCAGAGCGTGAAAGTGGGGCTAGAGTTGTGGCTCAGCAGTAGAGCACCTGCCTAGCATGTGTGAGGCACTGGGTTCCAGCCTCAGCACCACATAGAAGTAAATAAGTATATCCATCTTCAACTAAAAAATAAAAGCACTTAAAAATTTAAAAAAAAAAAAAAAAACATGAGAGTAAAGACTTGTGAATGCTTTGCTTCATTCTTTTCTCCATGGACATTCTAAGGATATTCTGAAGAGTAATATTAATCTTGTCTACCAAGGAAAGAGCTAGATTCTTTTGTCACTTCTCAGTAGTGAGACTCTGTATCTAAATAAAATACAGAATAGGGCTGAGGATGTGGCTCAGTGTTTAAGTGCCCCTGAGTTCAATCCCCTT